GTTCCCAAGGTCTGTCCTTAAATCGAATTTGTATGTAAGCCGGAGCAATGTTATTGTATAATACTATATAAGTATCATATAATTAACTCGAACCATTGTATTTAACTCAAATCATTGTAAATGTAACTTGAATTTTGCTACAATAGGCTTCATTCTCAACTATGGGTCTTCTGTAATCCAGGCGTTCTTAATCTAGGGACTACCTGTATTTCTACTCTATTGCAAAGAATATTCAGGAAGCAAAAAGGAGAATGAGCTATAAGTCATACTCCATAAGATGGAAAAGTGACTTGAAAAATTATCTGCACAACTAATAAGTAGCTGTTACTTTTTGATAAAGGATTTTGATAAAGGGATAAAGTTTTGATAACCCTCAAAACGTTCAGTGATGAGAAACTAGTTCCTTCACTTCTTTTTCTCCTCAGTAGTATAATGACAAAGTATGGTAGAGTAAAATTTATTTGGCATTTTAAATTAATGTTTTTCAAATCTTGCAGCTCTTCCTTATAACTTAATCTGGAACCACACCTTTTTGTATATAACCAGGACTGACTGACTTCCTTCCTTTCCAGATCCTGAGGGCAGAATGTTTTGCCTCTCTTGGAGGTTTTTTAATATAATTTTTATTGAAAAAGAACTTTAAACAGAGTTTAAAAGACTATAGAAACTTAGAAAAGTTGAAAAAAGAAAAAGATATAAAAAGAGAAAATGAGAAACAGAGAAAAAAGAAAAGAAAAATATCTAAAGAAGCGATTTCCGATCTTCTATGCAGTCGCTATTGGCAGTCACTACCATTTCCACTACCATTAAATTATGTATCTTGGTCCTTTCTTCTATAAACAACTCTTTTTAATCAGTAAATTCAATATTTTGAGTTTGGTGTTATGAGGTTTTTCCTTATTTTGGTAAACATCTAAATAAGTTTAACCCATATATTCTACTTCTTATTTTTGGTTACTTGGCAAGAGGCAAGGGGATCAAACTTTTTATTCTGTGGTTTACCACAGACTTTCAATGATGTAATCATAAGAAACTCCAGTGGTTTCCCCAGAAAGGAAGATTGTAGGTTATCTACCCTTGATGAATCCATTTGAAGGAAAACTAAAACAATGCTCATTATCTCTAGATAATGCCAGATGAGGCTGTGCCTGTGCAGTCATGTTGCCCCAGTAATTTCATTTGATGCAGGGTGGGAGCAAATATCATGAACATCCATTTGTACCTCTAACACTTTTTCCCAGAATTTCCTCTATCTTTTTCCTTCCCACAAAAAAAATCTTCTAAGATGGACTTTATTTGGTTGTAATCAGAGCCATCCATCCAGAAGTATTATTAGGATAATTGTCTGAGATAATTACCATTCCTGTGTATTAAACTAGTTGCACTTCATGAAAAACCACAATATTTGAAAAACATTTATGGACTAGATCATTTTGGTACCTTGTATGGTCTCCTATCTATTATTATTGTTTTATAACATTTATGTATGTACACACATGCTGTGGGCTGTTTACTTATCTTATGGGCCATTTCTTTATCAGGCTGATCACTGAGGAGATCAAGGCAATCACTCAGTGGATTTTAGGTATCATAAAAGTATAACAGTTATTTGTTATTATTGTATTCCAGTGGCTGGGAATAAGTAGGAGCTCTTGGGACTTTGGGGAGAAATGAAATAAACAAGAATTTGTCTAGAAGATAAAGGACAATTAAAGGACATTTGCCCTTTACAAAGTAAAATATATTACAAGGATGATATTGTCACTATAGTACAGCTCTATATCATTAGGTTGATCTAGACCTAGAGGTCACAGAATATTATTAGACTGGAAAGGGGAGCTGGTGACATTCCTGTTAGGACTATTCCCAGAGAGTCCTCCGATGATGAGAAGGTGGTAATGTCTCTTCAAAACCAGGGCCCATGGAAGACTAGAAAATCACAATCACCCATTGGAGAAGGGTTGGAGGTGACTGCATCTCCAAAAGCAAAAACAGGTGGAGATGAAGAGGAACTGTGTCCTAGTCCTAGAGAGTGAAGATTACGCAGGCTTCAAGGGCTAAGATGCAGTGAGCATAGAAAAAAAATAGGCCACATTTTCCACTTGCAAACAGTCCGAGGAAGATATGATTCTGTTTAAATCTAATGGATATCTTCTATTTCTTTTTGTTCTTCTCTTCCACTAGATGTCATACTGCCAACCTGAATGGCCTGTACCATAATGGACCCTATTCAGCAAGGACAGACAATGGGATTGTGTGGTACACGTGGCATGGATGGTGGTATTCCTTGAAATCTGTTGTCATGAAAGTCAGGCCATCAAACGTCAGTCGGAATGTAGTTTAAGTTGGCTTCCCATATTCATCTTTTTAATCAAATCAGTCATGCCCGAACTGTGGCACTCTCTTCACTTAGATAAAGAATCCATTGAGTCAACCTCAGCCATTAGGGAGTATATGGACACTTCATATAGATTGCTTGGCAACAATACGGAAGCAGTTTGCCGTTACCTTTTTATCAGAAGGTCTTTTTAACTTCCTGGTCTAATTTACAGCCCTGGGATGTCCTGATGCTCCTCCATTGAAGCTCTAACCATGTCTAACCCTGTTTAGGTTTTTTAAGATCAGCCAATAAAACAATAATCCAAAATAGGATTAAGCATTGAACCCATTGATTTTCAAAAGCTTAAATGTACATAATGTTCAGGCAAGCGAAATGATTTTATATATTTTAATTGGTAAGAAAAAAATGAGTGGATATTTAAACAACATGAGGTCTTTAATTCCATAGTTTTGTGTCTTTTACAGCAGTCACTAGCTAAAAAGGTATTTCAGATCCTTTTCCATAATGGCTGCATCACTAGATTTAAGAATTCATTTGTCTTTAAAAACATTAATTCTACCATATTTTGGACTTGCCCCTCCTCACAAGCAGAATATATTCTAAAATTACACCTGATGAAATTAAGTATTTCAGATATTTTAAACTGTTGACCTATGGATCTGTAAAAAACTATATGCTTCTTTTCAGATTTTCTGAAAGTTTGCCTATCTTTGCTGTTAGACATTATTACAGGAGACCTTCATGCGGATCCTACTCAAATCTACTAAATCTACTAAAATAAATATATAAAGAGAGTCTGAATGGACAAATAATACTAACATTTAATGCTGCTTTCATTTCATAAACAAAGTCACCCAACATTCAATGTGGCAATGAGAAAAAAAGGATCCTACCCAGTTCAGTTAAAGGAATATCTAGGTCCATTTGTATGAGAACCCAGATTCTACAGACATGCCATACCCCATTCAAAAGAAATGTCTGAAGACTTCCATAAAACGTAGTTAATACCTATGGAAATCTTTTGGAAAAGATTACAAAAAGTTTCTCAAGCTCTAGGGATCCACAGTCCAAGTATTGAACTGGAGAAGATCTAGGACAATGAATCTTCCCAAGGTTGACTGTCATCTCAAAGTCATTCCATCACTATTGTTTCTGACATAAATTAAAGAAGCCACAACCTTTGGTGTTATCTGTTCACTTGGATTCCCTTTTTATATACATTGAAGCACTAAAAATATTCTGAAATATGGAAAATGCTTTTTACAGAGTTACATGTATTTTAGCTTTATCACACATAGTTTGCTATTCTTATACTACTACATGCAATACTATGTGCAATTAGTCATGCTGCACTTATGTGGGATAGAAGGCCGATGAAGACGAATTTCAGAAGTAATGCACGGTACATGGCCCAGAGTAGATAGAGTTAAGTGGCTAAATGTCACATCTAATTAGGGGTATCCAATACAGTACCATTTGTTTTAGATTGCAATTAATTTTTGGTGTAACTTGTAATCATTCAAGAATAGGGACACTGCAGTGAGGATATTTTCTAAATAAAGCTAGAGAAAGGTGTATTGTTTTTCCAATCTACAACATCACAAAAGGTGCTGCAACTAAACTCAGAAAAATATGTACTTCGTATGACTTCAATATGGCACACCTACTAATTGGCTAATACTCATGACATCATTGGTGATGAATCAGTTTCTTCATTTACTATACCTGTCCTTTTTAAGAAACCAAATTATTGCTTAGACATTAGTGACAATTGCAGGCAAAGTGATGCAACTGGTCAGCAGCATCTGTAGCATGCCATGATGAAGTCAAAATGACAATACATGCATCATTACATCACTGTGCAAATGGTGTGATCATATAATACCTCATCATGATATCCAATTCAAGTATGTAAATAGCATCATTTGCATGCTGACATCATGACACACGTACAATGATTTGTTCCCCTCTTGGCTCCTCCCCATAGATGCCCATTCAGCTGGTAGAAGAATGTCCTCTATATGTGACTAACTAGCCCATAGTGATATGGGCTAGTGCAACTCTCTTTGTTAACTTCTGCATTTCTACATGTTGTTACTTAGAAATATGTGTAACTGAGTTTTATGGGGTTGTTCTCAAGTAAGTTTGAATGAAACTGCTGTTTCTCTTAGCTTTTTAACTGAGAGAATTAAAGGGAAAAATCTTCATGAATCAGTAAAAACAAGAAGGGCAAGTTTTGCAATTAGCTGGTAGCATTTATTGCCTTCCTGCCAAAGTCCAGATATTTTCTGCAGAGCATTGTAATGGACTTCTTGCATGATGACAGAATAATGATCAGCATATTTATTGCTCCTGCAAAGTGCCCAGGCTTGAATTTATCACCCCACACTACCATCACATAAGTAAATTAAGAAGAAGGAGAAATAGCCAGAAGGAATGCCGTGCCGTTCACGATGCAACCAAAGGCGCCGTTACAGTTGTTTAGCACCATGAAGAGCTCAAAAATAATCTCTTCAATCTTCCCTTATAGATATCTCGTAAAGAATTTGTACAGTTTTAAAAACAAACACAAGCTCTGTGAAGAATGAATGAGTACTTCATGTCTTACTAATGAATAAAACTCAGATATTCTGTTCCACAAAATAGTTAAATGAAGTACTTAGACTTCCTCTGATTTGATGATAAGGTAAATACAGAATGGAAGAGTCAAGCTCATATGTGTTTCTTTACATATTCAGAAATACAGAAACACCATCCTACCTGAGCCAGAGCAGAAAATGTATCTGGAACTTTATTTATTTGTACCTCTGAGTCCTCTCCTGTCAGAACTCCTGACATATGGAGGCTTTCAGATTTATGGTCTCTCCTGAAATTCAGGCTAAAAAAGCAGACCAGATGGACTATCAACCTGGTGGGCAATCTTCTGAAGTGGCTGCCATAGATGATGAACCTGACCATTTGGGGCTGACTCAGATCACAAGGGGCCTGATCTTGATAGGGTGCTTAACCCTGTAGCTCAAGTACATGCCAGCCACTACTAAGCAGAGAAGAGTTGTTCAGCTTTTCTTGAGAAGAAATGGCAGCAACTCCCTCACTGAGCCACATCAGCAACTGAGGCTGCACAAAAGCAGCCTGTGGCTCCTTTTTGATTTTTGGAAACAACTCTCCTATCTCCAGATCTACAGAAGCCTTTGGCTTCTCATCCCTGCCTCTTTGCCCTGCAACTTGAACTTCAACTACAACCCGGACTGGATGCTTCAGACCACTGGCTCTTGATCCATGGACTTCTATGCTTTGACCTGTATTTGTACTTTTCAATGATGTGCTCTGACTAAAAGGGGGGGGGGGAACTCCTCCAAATATCTCCTGGCTCTTGATTTACAACCTCTCCGAGGAAGCATTATCCCTGCCTTTCAAGTCAATTGATTTATATCCCCACCATTAAACCAGTTGTAAACAGTTCTTGTTCAACTTAGCGTAGTACATCTGCAGTGAGCAGTTTTTACCTAGAAAGCAATTCCAAAGATTCCCAGGACCCAGGCCGTATAGGACTTTACAGGCAACTGCAGTACCTTAAATTGCTCTCATGGCAGTAACATGACTGTCCAGATAGCATACATGTATTTTGTATCCATTAAAATTTCTGGGTGGCCTTTAAGAGCAGCCCATGTAAAGCAAGAAGTGATAAAGTATGAGTTGCTGACTCGGGGTGCTCCTCTACTCCCAGAAAGGCCACAAATGGTGCACCAGACGAAGCTGGCCACAGCCTCCTACTTTCTTTGAACAAGAGCCAGGGATCCAGGAAGTTCCCCAGGTTGTATGACTGCTTTTTCATATGGAGCGCCATCTCTTCCAGAGTCAAAATTGATCCCATTCAGCAAGTGTTTGGTTTCTGAATTAGAGGCCACCCCATCTTGCCTGGGGTGTTTAGGCAATGTTTTGAATCCCCTGCTTAAAAATAACCTGAATAATTCTTGAAGAGAATTCACTGGTATTCTCAGGGCTTTTTAAAGACACTTAAGATGCCCAGGACAAAATACTTATTTCAATTTCCTTCCCATCCTTTTATTTTATTATAATGCCATTACAAAATAACAGTGTCATTTTTTAAAAAAAATTTTTGCAAGCTAAGCCAAACCCAAACAGTGCTTTCGTCTACTGTATTTGGATTATGTTTTAACTTATTAGCTTTCCTGTCTTGTTAAAAGGATCATTTCATATACTGGAGTTTGCTTCTCTTGTGGAGCCGGGAAAAGCATAGAATGCTAGTGCATAAGATATGGAACCAAGAGCGGGGAGATCCTATTTCTTGTCCAGTTATGCAAGTTCACTGGGTGTCAGGTTCAGCCCAAGAATCACATGAAAGATTCCGGAAATCAGCTCAGCTTCTTTATTAGCTCGCATCTAATAGACAGAATCTCGCCAGACTAACTCTAATTCCCCAATGAGAGCATCTATAACCATCAGGCCCTTAGAGAGGGGCCAGTCTCTTCCTCCTTACTTTCACACAGTCCATCTGGGGGCTGAAGAGATGCTTGGAATGTCACTCCCCCTCCCTGTAACCTTGAAGCTCCATTCCAGAATCCTCCCCGCTCAAGCCTTCCGTCACACTGGGTGACTTTGGGCCAATCACACTCTCTCAACCCAACCTACCTGAAAGGATTGTTGTTGTGGGGGGAAAAAATAGCAGGAAGCTTCCTCCTTGAGCTCCTGTTCAAAAGGTGATGTAAAAATCTAATAAATAAATAAATTGCTCCCACCCCCTCCTCACCTTAAATCAGCCTTGATTGCAATAGGACTAGTTTGCAGTAAAACGGAGGGGGAAAAATGTTCCACCCGCTATAAGTTCAGCCCACAGGCAGCTCAAATTCATACCACTGGTTTTGGCTGCAATGTGGACATTTTTGACACTGGATTTAATGGTCGTAAAGAATTATCTTTAATCCTTCATCATGTAAGGTATTTCTGCTCCAGAATCTTTAGCAAATGGCAATACTGTCTGGTGGCTTGTAAGCCCTAGGAACCCGGTGACCCGATTCCACATAGAGGAGCTTTCTGTGAGATGCAGAGTGTCCTATGGCTCCACAGCTTTGGCTAGAGCTCTGTTTTAGATCCTATTTAATGAAACAGTTAATGCAAGCCCTGCTGCTTAGGTCATTTCTGTGTGTCTTCTCACTGGTAGCATTTTTAAGAATGTTTACATTTAGCTCTACCGAGTAAAAATATTTTTACCATGGAAAGCATTTTCCTGAAGCTCCTCCTGTGTCTTTCTGAATCCAATAGAATGCAATTATGCGGTTACATAAAGAAATAGGGTTGTAAATTTTCCCATGGTCTCAAGCTGCTGCTTCCAGGATGAGTCCAGCCATGAGTTGATTATGAAAAGTTTCCTCCCCCTGTTGATTTTGGGCAGGATTCCAGGCCATTTGCTGACCTTTATTTCCTAATAAAATAGTACTTCCACAACAGTTTCCCTCTTGTCATCTGACCTCTTAATGCAGATTGTGCAATGATTGTGGGCCATCCCCTTGGGAACAGGCTGACATTTCTGTTTTAGATGGGCTTTTAGTGGCTTGAAATATACTTGCTCCAGTTGCCATATTGCATTCTTCATTAAAGAGGGAATATCCCCCCACGCTTCCCCTGCTCTGATCCCCATCCACCCCAAACATCCCACCAATCTACTCCAGCAGTTCCTTCAATCTTACAAAACAGATTTCCCAGCTCTGTGGAGGACAATGGATAAGGAATCTGTTTCACTGGTAGTGGATGGAAACAGATAGATACAAAGCTCTATTGCTCTAAGAATCATTTTCCACATTCTACATTTTATTGTAAGCACATTTTTAAGCTTTTAAATGTAAGCAGAGCAATCTTATCTGCTTTTTAGGAACACTCCAACATTTCTAACTCTTGCACCAAACTAGTTGAAAGAAAGCCCCTGCCCAAAAGGAGGTGGCAGGACCAATCTCCCCAAAATTAAGCAGGATTGGATCTTATTATTACTTGGACAGGAGACCGCCAGGAGATACAGAAATGTAATTTAGACTGAAGTTGAAAAAACTCCTCAAAAGAAAGCCATGGCAAATCACTTCCATATTGTTGCCAAGAGTAAAAACCTATATGGATGTGTTTGGGTAATTGCCAGAAGTCCAACTCAGCTGGAAGGATACCTTTATCTTTTCTTTAAAAATGAGCTGTTCCGATGAAAGAAAATAGGAAGGAAATACTTTGTCAGTTTAGGTCTGGTCTATCCACCAGAATCATGACTCTGACCTTCCCCCTTTTCTCTTATCATGTCATCAGAGGAAAATTACAAAGCCAGTCTCCTAGTCTAGGCATGAGTTCTGGCCTTCTCTTCCCCTCTCCAAGAGGAGGAAAAAAAATAAAGAACTGGAAACCCACAAAGCATGTGATCTGCACTGTCAAGTCAGATGTTTAAGTGCCACCATGGCAGGAGCCACAAGGATGATTCAGTGCTGGCTGTCTCTCACGGAGAAATTCATCAACCCTACCAGTTCTCTGATTGGTGGCCTACAAGTCATAAAACTGCACCTCAAATCATCTTGGATGCTCTTTCTGGATTGAAAGGAAAGAGACTTCTGAAAACAATTCAGCTATTAATCAGTGATGTGTTTTTAATACATTAAATCAATTTACTAGATTTTAGAGCTACACACATTGCATCTCTGCTATATTGTCTAATAAATTAACCAATAAGCAAAATGTCATATGTAATTAACATCTGCAAATGGGTTTTTCTAGTTTGCAGTAACATACTTCATATATTAAATAGCTCATATTATGCAAAGAAACATATCTATTTTTCATACAAAAGCGAGTAATCAGCAAAAATATTTCAGCCTTTCATAAACACAGCTTTTATTTATTTGATGTCTAGTTATGGAATATGGAATATGAACTGATGGGAGAGAGAGATTTAGGCAAAATAAACAGAATCGGTAAAGTCTGCCTTACCATTTTTCTTTTGGGTTCCTTGCCCAATTTTTATGTATTGGTGTTCTTTAGTGGCAGTATGGAAAATGTTTTAAGCTTTAAACATTTTGCAATTCCCTGCTCTTTAGACCACAAACCATTTCACCCTAAATTGAGTTCTAGGCTGATTGTCAGAATTTTTGAATGGTAAAATTAGTTATTGAAAGACTGCATTTTCACCTGGCAAAATTATCTTTTTCAGGTGTTGTGTGGTCTAAAAATAGCTTTGTACAATGAAAAAATACATTAAACACTAGCACAAAATAGAAAAGGGTCTAGTAAAGCATCTCAGGATAATTTTGTTTTTACAATGTTAACACCAGCCTAGTTTGAGGTATCTATTACATCTCTCTACACTGGGCCTTCCTTAATTTTATTTTTCTTCCTGTATTTATTTAATTTCTATGCCATTTTCAACTGTCAGTTTTCTAAGAGGGCAACACCATGATCTACGTAGGCTATTTTGACAAAAATGTGTTGGTTTCTTTTATCTATACCAAAATTACTTTATGAATTAAACATTTGTGGATTATTTATTTAAGCCTGGACTTCATCTTTGAAAGGACAAGTCCAATTCATGAGTGATCTACATATAGGTATCATTCCATCACTTAGTGGTGGGTTACACTTACCAGCTGCCTAACTATTGCCTCTTTCTTTCTATCTACAATATTTCCTTTCACTCAAGTGTATTCAGAATGTCAATTTCTAAGAGTGTAAAATGAAACTCAAGGGAAGTCAACTTCAATAAAGGTTCTACTGTGCTTTTTTTTGGTCATCTCCTTTCAGTGAAAACCAATCTAATGCTTTCTGCAAAAGGAGCCTTCATAGAGTTTCATTCATTAATCATTTAAAGGGAAGAGGTTTTAAGTGTAGGACGGTATATCTTTTAAATTGATATGACAAAGAAACAATAACAATGGTGGTTCAGTAGGTCAGATGCTGAAAAGAAATATCCATCTCATCCAGACCTTACAATTACCTTCTAGACATAACAAAGCACACTAAAACCATCTCTTTTTTCCACAAAAGTGGCAACTAATTTGCATTTCGTTGCCACTGCCCTCATGGTGATAAGGTGAAATAAGAAGATGGTAGGTCATGGCATAAACCCACTAGCTAGTGAGTCAGTTTCCCAGATGATTTGAATCTTCTTTGTTGTTCCTTGGCAACCTTATCCTCAATCAGGATAAATTTCATTAGATTGGGTGGATGGATCTTCTCTAGAAGAAACAGAGCCTTATGATGGCACTACACCATATGTCAAGGCTATAGAGGAGCTATAACTAAGCTGTGATGAGCCTGCCAGGTGAGCATTGCACCATTTTCTCTTCTGAATAGTCTCACCAAAGACCAAAGCTTTAGAATTCTCTTTCTGCCCTCTGAGCCAATTAATAAATTGAATGGTAAAAGGTTATGAGCCCAGTTATATTTCAGTCTGTCCTACCTAAAGTCCCTTCCCCATCTACAAAATGTGACTGTGAATGCCACTTAGGTACAGAGTAGCCAAAGAAAATGGAATATCTTCAAATGCAGATCACATTGCCACAGATTAGGAGTCAAGAAGCGATTCAAGACTGAAAGTGGTACTCTGAAAAAAGTTTCTATGGAAGAACAAGCAAGGCTGTGCCATTTCCTACAGGGAAGAAAGAATTGTTTCAGTGGGTGGATTTTTATCAAGGGGAGGAGACTTTCCTTCCACTCCCTAATATCATCCTGCTCATCTTCTTCACAGAAGAAGCAAGCAGACCTTATATTTGCACCCAGGTCCTACAGGGTAAGAACCGTTTTTGATATTGCCATTGTCAAATGGCAGCAGCAGACTTCCTATGAATATGGATCTTAATACTGATCAATTATAATCTTATTAGTATAATTTCCAAGGATTTAATGCTTATGGGAGAAGCCAGTTCTCGCAGTGGTGATATTGGAATGCAGAATGATCCCCTTAAGGGTTCCTTACTTATACTCTTAGACATGCCCAGAATGTGTACTCTCTGCAGTACAGTAGATTCTGTTCCAAATGGTATTGACCTTAATATAGCAGCTCTATTGATTAAAATCAGCTTGTACTTATAACACAAAAATCAAATTTAAGCACTTTCAGATTACAGTAAGTGCATGCTTTTATGCTACATTAATTGCTCAACCAGGGTTTTTCAAGCTCTAATAATGTCCTGTAATGAGTTACACATGTAGCTTGCCTTTGAGAAACTACATCAAGAAACTACAGCAATTGTAAAATAGGGATGGAGAGTCTTTCATTTAGCAAAAGTTATCTTGTGTGTTGGGGGACTCCATCCCAATGATGGATTGACTGGAACAAACTGTAGTTGAGGGCAGAGGGAAACATGAGCGCAGATGTTCATTCTCCCTCAGATACAGATCCTATCTAAAAGTTACAAGCAGAAGCTATGATTTTAGAAGCCAAACTTGGTGTACCAGAGATACTTAGAGTGGGGAGAATATAATAAGGAGGAGCAAAAATCCATACCAAAAGTCAAAACAACCAAAACTACAGCAACTGTGGAGAATATCTCTTTTATGAATCTAAT